TTAGCATCTTTACTTACTCGAAACTAGAACTCAAATAGTGCATTGTGTAGCCACAGATGAGCTCTACAAAACTGTGTATTCAGATTGGTAAAACAAGCGAGCTTTGGAACTAGGAGGACCAAAGTATAGAGTCGACTGTATGATCCATCCTTGCAATCAGGTATATACCCAGCAAAGCTATCCATAAGACCGTCTGAAAATTTCTAGTATAGTCTGCTCAACTCGGTTTTCTACGCTGAATATGATCTGGCAAAACTGCATATTTGGTTTCTTGGTTCAAGGGTGGGCGCCAAATCCGACAGGGTCCTTTATCATTGTTTCTTTTGCACATTTATCACTCGTTCTAGGTGGTATGCCAGTTCCACAAATTCAAACTCGTCCGAATCTAACAAATACACCTTATCCAAACTATCCTTATGGTATGCCAACTTATCCACCATCATCAATCACACAACCATCTTATCCACCATCATCAATGACACAACCATCTTATCCATCATCATCAATAACACAACCATCTTATCCACCATCATCAATAACACAACCATCTTATCCTTATGCACAGCCCTATAGTGCCGGTAGTCAATCAGGACAAATTCCCGATAATATTTATAAAGAATCATTGATATCAGCTGTTATGGATAAAGTAAAATACAGATTAATGGATGTTATGCAACAATCAAAGGTAAGTCGGTTACGGTCGTGCTCTTCTAATGAGAACAATTTAAAAAGAGAGAAGTAGTATTCTTAGCTAGACTTTCTAATTTTTATTAAAAGAATATTTTTAGTAAAACTGATTAATCTCCTATAGCTGGGTATGCATCAGTTACAGTTTTTTACCAGTTAATTGTACTTGTAAAACTGCTGATAACTGTAACTGTAAAAACTGTCGTAACTGTAACTGCCTATAGCTGCAAAACTGTAACTGCTCATAACTGTAGGCAAATATTCTAGAGTGATTAGTCTAGTACGATTTGCATACATTTTAAGAATGTCTCTATTCTTAAAATGTATGCAAATCGTAGAAGACTAACTCATTTTTGAATATTTGCCTACAGTTATGAGCAGTTACAGTTATAACAATTACAGTTTTTACAGTTAACTATAACCAGTGCATGCCTACTTATGGAAGGTCTACGCCTACGCTTATAGAAGGTGCCTACGCGTGGAAGATCATGTATATGCAAAAGTTAAAATGTTTCCCTTGTTTCAGGCTGAAATTGATACATTGAGAAATACCGAAGAAGAGTTGGTGAATGGTCAACAACGTTTAGATATGTTGATATCAGATGCTCAACAACAAGAAAACAATTTAGGTCAGTACATAACACAATTACGTTCAAAAACGGTGGAAATGAAAGATGCCGTACAAAAAATGTCATCGTCAAATCAACAACAACAATCAGCACAGCATAATGTAAAAGATGATGCAATCATTACACCAGCACCAATCTATAAACAGTATGTATGACGATACTTGACTCTCTTTTAATCTGAATTCACATAGGTTTGTTGTGAAAATAATAGAAGTCTGAAGACTGACAGAAAACTAATAATTTCTATATTGTTGCGTTGTATGGTTTGAATTTGCTTGACTACTTATTGAAGGATCTATGTGATTACTAGTGCCTGTCAAACGTTTTCTTGTGTACTATTAGCCTGCTGAATGATCACACAAGTTTCTCAGTATTGATTATTTACATACATTTATTTCTATTAAAAGGCTGTTATTAGTGCGTCTCTGTTTTATTAATCAGTTAACATCTGATTAAATTTATATCCCTAGTATGGATTATAATTTCGGTAACTAATACGTCTCTATTCTTTGAACAAACGACAAAATACTGTTCTTGAGGAAAACAAAATCGAAGCGTTTGGATACTTAGTAGTTAAATGTGTTATTATACTTCATTCTTAACAACCCTATATGATTTTGTGTTTTGATAGTTTAAGTTCCAAAATGATATAATGAGAATTTATATTCTCGATTTCGTTCTGGTTCAGGATTAAAGCTTAAACCAACAACGTATATAAAAAAGAGCCACTGTGTAAACTATCGAAATTTCTATGTAGTGCAGCGTTAATTATTAATGAGCTAATTAGTTAAATATTCCATCTATCTTTGAGATGTTCAGTGCGTTTACTTCACCATTTTTTGATTATTATCTCTCTTTAGAAAAATAGTTAGAAAACAGAAATGTCATTTTTTACCCAGAAAATATTCTGAGGATTCTCTGTACTTAATCATTGCAAAAACGGTTTAGAGATACGATTGGGCGTATGATTCGTCCATGAAAACAAAAACAATTGTAGTTTTTTATTCTGTTTTAGGTTATTACAATCCTATGCTGAAGATCATGCAATACAAGATTTACTTTATTATCTTGGTGATGGTCTTCGTCGTAGTTCAATATCACTAGATACATATTTAAAGGTATGGATTAAATTATTTACAAGAGTCAAAAAACCTCTGAACAGGATAGAATAAAAGAAAACAGTTTCTAGACTTTGTTTATTACTCAAGGAAAAAGCCTTTTGTCTGAGGAGAAACCAACTGTTCGCGATATTCTCTGCTTCTGAGAGGAATGTCTCATTAATTCACATCTGAGGTTAAATAATGCTCGAGCATTTTCAGAAAACACGAGTATGATTTGAAGTATCTACGGTAAGAATTTGAGCTCGATCGGATGAGTTCTTGATAGAATAGTAATCGGTTACAATGAATACAGGAAAAAGATTATTTTCAAGAAAACGAAAATAAAAATAGAGTATGAATCATTAAAAATGATTCGATAAAACGCGACTCCTATTACTTTTGATTCTGTATCTACATGGAAGAGAGTAGTTCAAACTATATGTTTCGGTTGAAAAAAACTTTTTTGAATTTTTGGTTAGGTACAGTATAAATGTATCTATTGCTTATTTTATTTTAAGCATGTGCGAGAATTATCTCGTCGTCAATTTATTTTACGTGCAACTATGCAAAAATGTCGACAAATCGCCAGACTACCAGTTAAATAGATAGTGCGATAGCGTAATAATAGGAGACGAATTTATTCAATATTAATCTTAAACTCGTGGTTTATTATTCATTTATCTGCCCTGTAATTCAAGCTCTCCTGGTTCGCATTACTACCATCATCGTTATTTATTGTTTTTTATCATTGTAATGTATAAACTCATTTCATTCGACACGTAAAACGTTTTTGTTTGTTCTCTTTATGTTTTTGTTCTCTCTCTTTTTATTCGTTTTCTTTTTGTTCTCTCTCTCTCTCCATTTATGTGTATAAAAGACCAAGCAACTATGAGCGTGCTATTATGAGAATATAATATCAACGATAACTAGAACACATTTGAGTTTAAATCAACAATAAATGACAAAGTATAGATGTTATCTTTTTCTTTGATAGACTAACAGATTACATCATGAATATTAGAATTTCAGATAAATCAGATTTTTTGTGGCTTTCTAGAAAACTTCATGAACCATCAAAAACTTTTGATATTAGTAAAAACAGTATGGATTCTAACGAGGAAACCTATCCAAGTGATACCTTCCGATTTCGCTCGTTTATACGTCGATCGATAGAAGGTATCGAGCTAGAAAAAAGCTTGAAAGGATTCTCTTGAAGATCTGGTTTTCTGAAAAAACAGTTTTTCAGAAACTCTAAAAATTAACCAAAATCTTTCTGAATGAGGCATAATTGTACCCCGCAAATTTCTGATCAAAATGAGACATTTTCCAGCTCTACACGACCTTTCGTTGCAAAGTTATAGAATTTACAAGAAAAGCCCTAAATTAATTTTTCCTTCTTATTTCAGTAGCTCGGAGGTAACAATGAACATTGAGGGCTTTTCTTGTAAATTGTATAACTTTGCAAAGAAAGGTCGTGCAGAGCTAGGAGACGAAACATTTTTGATTAAAATGAGACGTCTCCCAGTTCTACACGACCTTTCTTTGCAAAGTTATACAATTTACAAGAAAAGCTCTCAATGTTCATTGTCACCTCAGAGCTGCAGAAAGAAAACGGAAAAATGATTTAGGACTTTTCTTGTAAACTCCATAACTTTGCAACGAAAGGTCATGTAGAGCTGGAAGATATCTCATTTTGATCAGAATTTCGCGGGCTACAATCGTGACTTATTTGAAAAAAAGTTTTGGGGATTTTTCAAGGTGTTTGGAAAACTAGTTAATTAACTCGTCTGGGAAAGGCCTATGAACCCAAATGAATATCATATTCGGAATCAGCATGGTCGATTACCTACAACCCATTACATTTCATTGGAAAAACGAGAGTACATTGGGGAGGTTCCCTCGTTAGGTTGATGTTTACTTTTTAGGAAAAAGTTTATACAACTAATGAGGGAGGGCCTTAAAAGTTCAGTGTTTGAATGGATATGTGTGAAAAATACGAAAACAGCCTCTATTTATGATTATTCTACTCTGTATCCAAAAGTTTTGCCATTGCACGGTCCATTAGAAAAGATGCTTATTGAATTGAAAGCAGATCGTTTTCAAGATGGTGAAGAAGCGCTACACCACAATCGCTTCATAAAAGAAAACTTATGCCGTTCAGAATTTCAGACTTGAAATAAGGAGTCAAAAAGTCGAATGCAATAGATGTGAAAGAGTCGTTTTTTTAAATAACTGTTTTATGAAATAGAATACAATCAGACGATGCAGTTGTTTTCTTCACTTTCTAACTGGTTATTTCTGATGAAGTGTTAGTTTATTGCACGAGTGTATCTAATAGAGTCCTGCTGTATCGCTACTATACCGTTGTTCACTTAAATTTTAGTGGAAACTGGCAGTGCGGAGTGATGACTTATATCCCAATCAGGATAAAATCCCGATCGGTCTATACGATTATCCTGGTTGGGCTATAAATCCCGATCGGGATAATTTGTACAGTCTGATCGATCTATATAATCAATCAATCATTTTCTGGCCTCCGCTTAACAACCAAATAAAAACGGACAATGCCATTCGAAAGAGGATTCAAAACTGATTCAGATTCCGTGGAGGTCGGCTATATGTATCCTTTCGGGTACTGCGTAAAAATTCGATCAAAAATCGCGTATTTTGATCGAGATATAAAATATATCCGAAACGGGCTATTTTTTTATTTTTTTAAAAAAACTTTCGTTTTGGAAAAAAATAAAAGCTGATTACTGGAATCCAAAACCGCCATCAGATAGAGCACTCAAAACTGCATATGAATACATGAGAATCTCCAAAGTATTGGATGATGATAATCTACTATCCATTTCAAAATATAGTGTCCGTGGCTGTTGTTTGAATAACTCCAGAATGAAGAGAGGTAGATATCTGCACTTTTCAGCATTTTGTATCGAATTTCCAGGCGATGTACCTGACATGTGAAAAAAGAAGAGGTTGCCAGGTACCAAAGGTAAAATAGTTTTTCACTAAAAATTTTCACTTTTCACTTTCCACTCAAGACTTTTGCCTCACTTACGACAACCAGTGGATGATCATATTTACTTTCAATACTTTTTTGAACATGTTTAGTAATATAGCCCTATCGGGATACAACGATAGCCCGGTTCGAATTTTGATTATATCCGGATCGGGATTTCTAGCTCAATCGAGATAATCGTATAGGCCGATCGGGATATAAGTCACTGACTGGCTCCGCTTAACGTCACGATATTATGGATAATTTTACCTTTCACGCTCTGTCGATGAGCTTATATTTTTTTCAATCATTTTTAATTCAGTTCATAAGTTGAACTTCTATTTTGATGAGAGCCAGCTTATCTTTCTTCATGGTACATTATGCAATGCTAGAAAGTCCACTTAAGAATGAACAGGATCGATGAGAATGAATAAGAAAAAGATTTTACAGGTTTTACGTTATCCTATTCCACCGAACACTAGAAACATTTTGTACTGACTGCCAAAAATCATCAACGCAAAAAATTTTCATTTCCATACCCTGGTGCGGTCATCATTTCTTCACTCTAAAAAAGAATACGACTTAATTTGACCCTAAGTCGCATTTCTTTTTTAGAGTGTTGAACCAGCAATCATTAGACGGTATGATGGTAATGATTGTGTAATTGTTACTCATTTCTATAATAAAAAGCAATTTTTTGCCGATACGTACACTATTACACGTTCAATTTGGATTGTTTTTTATTTGTATTATAACAATATCTTATCAAATTTTTTTCTAAAATCTCTAAATGCTGTATCTTTCGTAGTTAAATTAAATTCATATGCTTTCGGATGTCCAAATTTCCAATCTAACGGCGGATTATTAACACTAAAATTTGCTGGTATAGCCCAATCGGGCATATTATTTCGTCTAAAATATTTTTGCATAAAATCTTCCCAACTTTTCAATTTATAATGATTTAACAAAGCTACTGTTGGTTGTAATACAGTTGTATGATATCTTTTATCCATTATAAATTCATGAATAGTCGAATGTAATTTAGCATAGTGTGTTTTAACAGCACATTTTCCATGTTTTTCATAAATATGTCGTGCATCCGAACGATGAATATAGTTATCAACAACGGTCCCATTGACAGGACGACGAATATGTCCTGACGAACCGAATACTTTACTTTTAAAACATATTTGTCCTACATTTTGAGTCAAATTAGTAAGAAGTTTCGATAAACAATTTAGTGCTGAACATTGTCGAACATAAATATATTCATCAACATCAAAAAATAATGTCCATTCGCATAGACTATCGGTTAATAATTTAGCATGGACAAATGCGTGTTTTTGACTTTTAATCCATGGCCAATAGAACATTTGAACGTATTCATTAAATGTTGGTAATTTCAAAATGTCTGTCGTATTATCTTTACTATCATTATCATATAGAAAAAAATATTCAATACCAAGTTTTTTATGATAAATAAGCCAATCTTCTAAATCAAGTGATTTGTTTACAATTTGTGTTACTGCACATAGAAAATGTTTTGGTGTCAAGGGTTTTGGTTTTGGTAGACTATATCTAAATTTTGTCAGTGTTGGTAAGAGAATTTTTTCATGAGTTTTAAGTGTTACTAATTGACTATCTAAACTTCGTGCTTGTCTATGTGATTGAAATAGACATTCATAAACATAATTTTGTTGTAATATTCGCTTTAATGTTTGATGACCAACAACACAATAACCGATATTTGTCACCACATCAATACCTTGTACAAATACAATAATTTTAAGCTCACGTGGTATCCACACATGTGTTAAAACATATGGCACCGTAAACGGTGGTACTTGAAATGTTCGACTAGGCGGTTCATAAAATGAATAAGATTGAATGGGTAATGATGGCCGTTTGTATGATGGCAGTATTTCTTTATTTTGTTTTTCAAAAAATTCTTTTTTTTCTTCATCTGTATTGTTTTGTTGTGATAGAAAATAAGCAATACACACTAAATAGAGAATTAATAGAATTGTTAATTTTGGATAAGTTCTAGCAAATGTTGATAATAAATACATATTATTCTCACCAAGTGAGCAATACGTATCATATACACCATTATACACAAGTCTAATTTAAACACTATTATTTCGTACGCCATGAGACTGATTCTTTCTTTTTTCTTCCTCTTTCTCTTTACGCGTGAAGATTTTCTCCTACCTGTATACTTTTCATCGATTATATTCATAAAATATGATAACATGTTGAAATATACATGTACAAGATTTTTTATTGAAAGAAAAACATGCGTTCATAGAAGATATTATGAGATTTACTGATATATTTTATTTATCGTTAAAGTATAGATGATCTTATCACATTAGAGCAATTGTGATTTAAAAATATAGTACTAAACGGGCTGATTTAAACCAAATCTTTACTATGTTTAACTCTTATAAGGTGAATAGCCTGCAGAAGTATGGAAGGGACAACAAACGAATGTTTGACATTTCTAAAAACGCATAGAGGCTGAGTATGTTGAGAATCAAGTTGAATTTTTAATTATTGATTGGTTCAGAAAACATCAAAGACTAATTTTTATTGGTTTTTTACGATTTTTTGTGTCGTAAACCAAGACTTACAAAATCTAGTATACACGGATGAAAGAGCACACCTGTTAATATCAATAGATGGATTCTGATCTAGCTTGATACCTTCATCTCTATTTCAAAACATAGTTTGAATTTGCTAATACATGTTACACTGTTGACTGCTATAGCACTTTCTTTATTTTCCACGCTGTTATTCACTTTCACATTTAGTAATAGCACACTCTACTTTTAATAGAGAGTTTGAAGGCGCATCATCCACAAGAAAAAATGTGAATTATATAGATATAATCCATTTTTACAGATAATAGATTTATATCCATTTTTTACAGATTAGAGATGTGCACGGATACCGTTTTCGCGAAAATGGTATCCGATCGGGGTAAGCGTACCCCACTGGAGAACTTTGTATCTGTACCCGGTCCGTACCCGACTTATGCCTAAAAATTGTCTCCTTTTCGTTGTCCAACTAAAAGCTTTTGTTTTTCGGCTGGAGATGTCAAATTATCACTACGTTCCTAATAACTCTTTTGTAAAACTTCATATATTTTAGCTAAAATCTTATATTTTTTCACTGGAATTTTGTGACTTTCCACTAAAACCTTCCAATCTTCGGATAAATTCTAAAAAGTGGAGCCAATATCCGACCCGTACCCGTAACTGGTCTATCCGTACCCGACAACTTTGTACCCGTACCCAACCTTCGGATCGGATCGGGTTGCACATCGCTAGTATAGATTAACAAAACCACTAAATATTTTGCTATAGGTTATCGGCCATGGTGGATTTAATGAATACGTGTGTGGACATGTGCGACACATGCCTGCGGCGCTTATGCAATGCAAGTGCAAAAAAGCCATTTTTTTTGCCGTATGGCTTCGGGAAAACTCGCTCAAAACCTATGAAAAACTTATTCTATCGACACAAAAATTATGGCATTAGAAAGTAGACACTGTGGGCTATCCAACCATGTGCTTTTCTCAAATTCGATATTTTTGACGAAAATTGGCATTTCTCACCCGAGCGGGGAGGGAGGACCTTAAAAATCGATTTTTTCTGATTGTTCTTCTTTTCGATGTATCGTTAATAGCGTCATCTGGAAAACCTCTTAAGGATAGATGGTGAACAATGAACTGAATTTGCGATAATCTGGCGAATATAAAATGCGAGACAGTTTAATATAGATTCATTTATTAACTCTGATATATAAAACGAACAGTCTCTTATACACAGTTGACGATAAAAGAATTTTACTATTTTATAAGTAATAGAAACCATATAATTTTCATTTCTAAAGTTCATCGTTAAGATTATATACCATATTTAAACTTTGTAATATTTCATTCGAAACCAAATATGTTTCATTGGTTTTTGTGTGCCAAACATAAATCTACAAGGAAACAACGAGATGAATTTATACGACAGGTACGAGGAGAAAATGTGAGTCTCTACTTTTGTGGCATTGTCTGCTAAACATTCTAAATCATTTATTGTTGTCATTGTTGATAAAATCTGTGATTCCAATAGTCCAACACTTGTTATACTAACATTAAAATGAAAATATTTATAATGATGAATTAATCCTAATCGAATAGCAAAACCGGCCATATCAATGGGAAATTCACGATGAATTGCAACATATCGAAACCACGAATGAACCTTGAAAAAAAAACGACTTAAAATCTGTAATGATGATCAGGAATATTTGGGATGAATCTAGCAAAATGCTTACTCTTCCATAATAACAAATTGGTCGTTCGTATGCTAAACGACCCGAGATACCTACTGGCCAGATGCCTACATTTTTTATCTGTCTCATCTGAAAATAAATTTTATATAATATATTTATTCAGATAATATCTGGCCTATTGAATCTATCATGTCTTACTTCAATAAATAATCTCCAATCGTACGTATTATCATCATCTGCAAAATAAACAATTGCATCTTCTGTTGATTTTGTATTATTTCTTAACCAATTTAATGCTATGTTTCGTTGAAACATAGCACGAGGTGGTTTAAATTTATTTGTTGAAGTTATTTTTATTCTTAAATAGCCTGGTGTGAGATAATTTAAATGAACTATTGGTAAACTAAATGAATCGAGTAATTTTTTTAAACGAAATGTTGGCTTTTCTGCATCTTCAATAATTATCCATAAAATATTTGGAATCTAAATAAGAAAATAACTATAAACTAATGGATTCGCTTGTTAGTAATAGACATACGAGATAGAATGTTTGCGCTAATCGAGTAAGATCGGCTTTTTGTTCTGTTCGATTGTATGTGGGTGTGATAATATAAATACGTCTTGCTGATATTTGATCATTGTATGTTTCAGCTATCGGATAGGCCAAACCCGGATATAAATCAAATAATTTATTCCAATCAAAATCAAGCTGAACATTTCTTTTAACTATAAAACGCAGAGATAACATTTAAAGTCTGTTCTGCGTAGACGGTGATCTACTTCCAGTACTAAATCGAGTATGTCAAAATTTTTCCTAGATAGAGGTATTTCTAGACAAACATGAATTACAACAAAAATTATTGTTCTGAAAAATTTTAAGAGCTAATATATAAAAAATTTTATATGAAAAACCGTCATGTTGAAAAGTCGCCAGCTTCAAAAACTCTTGTAACTTCATGCAAAAATCTAACACTTAGTCTTGTAATTTTTATCATCTATATGTCTACTATAAAATGATGTATTGTGAGCTAGATTTTCCCTCGCTTGAATACAGTAGATAGTGCACTGGGAGCCCAAAATTTGATTCAATCAACTTTGAAAGTCAATACAATTGAAATGGTACTAAACTTGAAAACTTTCGATGATACTTCTTAGTTATAGCTCTGTCGAATTATAGTCGAAAAAGTTTTGAAGATTACGAATGGTTTCGTTTCTTAAATCTTCGGTTCAAAAATTGTTATTATGAGCAAGAAACGATTTTCTTCTATGAAAAATATCGTCGAAAGTTTTCAAGCTTAGTACAGTTTCAATTGTATTGGCTTTCAAAGCTGATCAAATCAAATTTGGACTGTTGTATGTTGTGTTTTAATCTAATAAAAACTTGAACTTACTATACAATATAGTTATAATAGCTGCAAGCGATGTGTAACAAAGAAAAAATGGTAGTAAAAAGGTATATATCCAACGAAAACTACGCACATTCATATATGGAACAAGATTAGAAATACTACTTGCACTACCGCTTTAGCAGCACACCTGCATTTGTTTTGTTAGAAACGACCTATTGACTACACAGGTAAAAGAAAACGAACAAAAATATAAACCATCGTTAGAGAAAGAACAAGGTCTATTCGAGAAACAAGATTATAATAGAGAATGACAGAGCATTGCTCAGTAAGGTCAATCCGAGCAAAAAATAATTTTTTTGAGCTAGCTTAACCTATATAAAAAAGAATATTTACTTTGCTACAGCTAGTTGCTTGGGAATCGTGAGTAGTATATTTCTACAAGAAACAAGAACTACTTATCTAGAAGCAATAATCATTCGTTGTGAAAAGACAATGTTACTACAGTTTGTTAAAATGTCAACAAGAAGCTGCACTTTAAGACTATTTCTTACTTCTTGCTGGCACTAGTGAGATTATTTCTTAGATTATAAACTTAATTTCATAACATTTATTTATCCAACGTTTACATGCATTTTAACGATTTTGTCCGTGTTCAGTATACGCATCAGTAGTCACACACGGTCAGCTCATACACTCATATTATCAATAAAACCTGTTGAATATCTATCTCCTTTCAAAATAGATAACAAGAAGTTACTTTATTTCACATGAGGTAGATGGAGAGAAGATAAGAAGCCGAGTTCTCTATCAGTTCATATGTTGATCATGCTTGTTCATATGTTCTAAATTCAATTCTCAAGCGGACTTTCGATAGGTAAATCGATGTGTCTAAGTGAAGCCTACACACCGCTAGGGGGGAAAAGGCGGCTCCGGGAGCTTTCCGGAGCCCATGAAATGCTTTCCGGAGCTTGAGATGCTTGGCATCGAATACTCTCCGATGCTAAGAAAGAAAAAGTCGCCTTTTCGCCCTTGGCACACCGTCGAGAGATCGATTTAAACTTTTAAGAATTTTTGATCGCTCTGAAAATTTCATCTATTTTGAGAAATACGACGAAAGCTTGAGAAGTTTCTAATTTTGAAAACTCAGATGTTTATTATAGTGTATAGTGGACATCTATGTCGTCAAAACGCCGTTAACTAATCCATATTTTTGCTGTCAGCGATACAAATGGAAAAAAATTAAAAAATTGCATGCTACTGTTACTGCTAAAGAATTTTTTTTATTTTAGTGAAGCCTGTTCTTTTTTTAGAGAAGAAATTTTCACCATATTTCAAAATATAGTATGGAGGATTGCGACATGAATAACTCGAGAACGAAATAAGCTATTGAGATCGGGGTTTTGCCATCATGTAGCCGAGGTCGAGGCACGTAATAATATGCAGAAACCAAAATCTTTGCCTGGATCTCTGAGGATTTTGTAGATGGATCTCTGGAAAACCAGCTTATAGTTCCAAAGTTTTACATAGAAATCTATCAGTTTTTTTCATATATGGATATTCCAAAGGGTCCTCTACAAAACCAGATCCAAGAGACATCTCGAAAATCTATGGTTTAGAAACTACGGGGTTTTTTCTTGGAGCCTTAAGACTCCTCTGCCGTTAGGTTGGGACTGTTAGAAATGAATGAAAACATATTTTACCGACTATCTCGTCACGGTTGAATCTCGTGGTAACATTTGTTTTTCAAAACAGCTCCAGAAACCTAGTGAAAGCGTACATTACGTGAAATATCGAATGTTTACCTATTTTTGAGTAAAATTAAAAAATTCATAACTCAGTCATGATCAATCCAAGCTATATCAGAATAACAATATGTACTCTATTTTACCTGCTCAGTACTATACAGTTCAATAGAAGCTTTAATAATAGAAAAAAAAAACACTCTGGTTTTTGAAAGGATTTTCTAACCTTCCGAAAGAAGAATGTGTTTTACTATCTCAAGTAAAAAATCGTTTGGAGCAGGTAAAATAGAGTACATCTTGTCGATTGATCGAAAAATCTCCTTAAAAATCTCAGAGATTATATATTGCCTTACGCACTTTTTTCGACCGGATCTATAATTCATGACCTGTTTTGAATATTTCCTGAAAATTACAGTTTGTTTGGATGAGAAACGACTGAGTTATGAATATTTTAATTTCGGATGCACATACGAGAAAAAGTGGATTTTGAAGAAAGCAGCTCAGCTAAACTTTTTGAGATTTTTGAGGAAGAAAATAAACATTGCCACGACACAGTGTGCATCCAGGCGAGCTTTTGGTGAAAAAATGAAAGTTGACTTTCCAGTGATTCAAATAGTGATTAATATACTCTGAACTGTTCGATGGTAAAAAGTTTTTTTCCTACGGCTGATTTAAACTGGGAAAAACATATGAGCAAAAACTACACTGAAAACAATGGTGCCGCCGGAAAATCGGATTACACGCAAAATCAAAGTGAGCCGTAAGACAAACGAATACATACTCAGAATCTGCATCCAGTCGGCTACCGATTGGTAAAAAATCGGACAAACCAAATAAAACATTTTTCTAGAGAGTTCCCCACAGCGATGTGTTTGACAAAATGCGTGCGCCAACTTTAGTTTAACTCCAATTTTGATGAAATTTTCAGAGAATGTGATTCTATATATAACACATCTACACAGGTAGCGAAAACTTGCAAAAGTTTTCTGGCCCGAGTTATTGATTTTCCAAGAAACCCTCGGTTTTTCAAGTATTGTCTGTTTTTCTCGCGCTAAAATGTTTCAAAAATTTGAAAAAATAGCATATTCGGAATCAGCGCAAAAAACCCCATCGATTTATGTACAATAAGAGAGGTTTTGGACCCCAACACGACAGATTTTACAAAATCCTGCGGTTGAAGACGTTGTTTACGAAGTTTTCTACTACATATTCGAACATCAGTTTCAGGCTCAAGTCTATAAAAAATTTCATATAGGCTGTCGAGTGTGCTCATTCTAATAGCACTGCTTTCAAAGACCAAAAACGATTTTTAAGAGGTTTTTCAAAGATCCAGTCTCTGGGAAACCTCTTAAGACCATTTTTGGACTTTGAAAGCAGTACTACTGGAATGAGCATACTCGAAAACCTCTATGAAAATTTTTTTGTAGATCTGTACTCTGCTTTAAAGAGATATGCTCGCCTGCCTAACCGAAAATGCACACTGTGCACGATGATCAACATGGTCGATTACTCCTATTTTGAGTTGAATTTTATTCAAACAACATGAAAAAATTTGGCATATGTAGGTCTCAGGAGCATGCCTGTGGCTCCCTAACAGTAAAAGCTAAAAATCTGCGACTGGTGAGAAATGATAGGCAATCATCTGCTCTATCAAACCTATGTCAAAAGGCAACTCAATGCTATACAGAATTTCGACGTTAAGGTGGCTTGAAAAAGTTTCATAGAAAGGTGGCGCTGAAAGTCGGTATGATGTCATTTTTTGTATATTTCCATATAAAGTTAATCGTCCTCTTTCCAAAACTGAAAACTGCAGGTCTCTAGCTGCTTCCTGTCCGGAGTTATTCAACTTACAACCGACTGCATTCATTAAAATAGATAGTAGTTAGTTATAGACTTTTTCTAGTATTTTATATGGCATTATTATAATTAAGAAATTTTCGTTTAATTTTGCTGATTTAATTTAAATAAACACACAGTCTTACATTTTGCCATGACATTGCTAAATTGACTATGAAAAAAGATAGAAAAGGTCTATAGTGTAATGCATTTTTTATATAGTTTTGATTTTAAATTGGATGTTAGACAAACTGAACAAATATTTTCGGAATTGAATTTGATTTTTCTTTAAAATTGGAAATGAGAAAATAGGGAAAAAATGAGTGGATAAAATAATACCACTTTCTTTCAAGTCCTTCACTTAAATATTATCTATAAATGTGCAATTTCAATGGTTAATTGAAACTAGAATTGGATAAATATAGCGTTTTAGTCTATAACTGCCTCTATTGTGTTAATGTAGGATAATGCATGACAAAACAATAAGTCATTGTATTTCTGATTTATATGCAATCTGCCAATTTCAAATATTAAGACTTAAATATGTTTTAGTCGATAGATACTCTAACTATTATTTTCTTTTCACTTTATAAGCTATGATATTGAACTTACTTGTAATATATACTTAGTATTGCTACTTCCTACGTGTTTTAATAACAAAAATGTGTTTTTGTGTTCGGACTTACTTGAAGTTTTATGTGCGGGAAAATTTCAAATGCGATTTCCGATTTGAAAGTGGATTCGTTGCGCTTACTGAAAAAGTGAGATTTATAGATTCACTTTGAAAGCAGTGCTGTTGGAATGAGCACACTCGAAAGCCTACATGAAATTATTTTATAGGAAACCTTGTTTTTCAGGATATTATGTAACGCGAAACATAAAAGTCAATTGAATAGGATATGGAAGAAAACGTTCAGCGGTTTTGAGATTATCGTTGTGACGAAAATTGCTTACAAAAGACATAGTATGTTTGTCTACAACTTCGTTAATAAGCATTTTCAGTTTTGTTGCTAAACAGAAAAAGCTGTGAAGCAAAGTAACCAAACAATAACGTATGAATGCAAACAGTATTTTTAAAATAGAAAATTGACTATCATTTGTACTGGTAACAAATCCTTGGGACTTTAGTGTATACAGTAACTAATATTTTTTTAGATAACGAAATACTACGTAAATACCAAAGTTATTGTGTGTTGTACAGCAGGGAATTCTCTATCTTTTGAGCCTAGAACTTATGCTTGAATTTATCCTTTCGTGCTCAAATGATTCAAAACAAAAGCGGCCAATTTTATCTGGTATACCTATGGGAAACATATAAAGGCTAAAGCAACTAAGAAGCGGACATGCTAAAGGCTATAGACAATAACAATACAAACGAACAGTTGTATCGCTGTTGTCAGTGGACAAACAAAATGAATGTTGCCAAACAAAGTTTCGTACGCATCAAAATAGGTTTTGTATTTATTTACGAAGCCTTGTTGCATTTTCAAGATTAAATACGAAACCTTGCCGGGTGTGTTGAACACAAAACTCCCAAAGATGCAGAAAATAAGCGCGAAACCATTAAAAGTTCAGAAATGACCCACAAAACCTTTAATATATCGTGGGAACCATATTTTTTTAGAAAGTATGGCATTCACTCATTTTTCTTATGAAGGTAATTATTGCTGATGTGCATTACCATAGTAGTTATTAAGAAACAGTTTGAACGAAAATATTCTAAACCATCACGTCCCAGTTTTTATTATAATAAGCGTTCTTTGCTGTAAAACACTTACTTTAAGAATAGCAGTTCTCCAGATCCATTTTCTGAGATCAACCAATATGTATTGATTAACTAAGAAAGCAATATTCTGTGGTCTGGTTCAGTAATCAAGTAGATATACCGATCAACTAATGTTAGTGTGAATATAGTCGATACGATCGAGTCATTCTTGTCATTCTAATTGTAATATTACATCTTGTCTAAGTTGATTTTACATTATAGTGCGATATTCAACAAGTTTCCATCTATAGACCATGTTTTCCACGAACATGAAATTCAAGTAGTCCTCGTTTTAACAAATAGATTTTCACTAATACCTTCCCTTGTATCCGTCTAATTTATTGATTTTCTTATTATATTTAGATACACTATAGTCAAAAAATAATAACAGTGCTGTTCACATACACAATTAGAAAAGAGAAATGAAAAATAGTACAAGAAATATGATAAAGAAAATGCGATGTTTGTCGGTTTAATTGATTACTTCAAATGATGGGTACGACTGTGTATGTGTATGTGTATATGTGATTTATAAATGAAAAAAAGTGTTGAGGAAAAACCAAAAATGTCCTAATACTCTCTGTGCTCCTATCCTTCCCTGTGTGAGAAAAAAACCTGGTTAGAAACGAAAGAAAACGACAACAGAAATCATAAACTATTTGATGTTGTGAACATTACCATTCAATTAATAAATTAATTTTAAGCTTCATTTGGAAATGGTCCTTGTAATAATTTTCTTACAAATATTTCATAATTAAATAAACCATCGGCATCTTCTTTTGTTTCTGTACTGCGTAAAACTTCTTCAACATGACTTACGGGTAATTTTTCAGCCATAGCGACTAAAACTTGTGTTAATTCGGCTAATGACATCATACCATTTGATTCTTTATCAAATAATTTTAAGCCTTCCTACAAATGATAAATATTAAAATTAAACTACTTTAATATCTAATTGTTCAATCGATACCACCATCACTACAGTGTACTAGAGAGTGATAGATGACTTTCTTTTTTTTAAATATTTCTTTTTAGGTAGAAAATTTTCTCAATTGGATAATGGATTTTAGTGCAATATTTTTGAAAACTTTTTCTTATCTATTGAACAGAGACCGCAGCAATAATATGAAATATATACTTTCGTTTCAACTATAGTTGGAAGAAAAAAATTTCATCTGTAAGGAATAAAAGAAAATTGATTCAGATGTATGATTATAAAAATAGTAAGAACTTCTTAAACTTACAATCAGAGACAACGAGTCACATGATTCTTTCATTATCGAAACTGTCTATGAATCCTTTCTAATCAGTTTGTCGCGCAAATGATGTTAGATTCTACATCTTAGATATCGATTAAAGTAGTTTAAACGATGATGATTTTCATTTTCAAAAATTGCCTTTTATGAACTCTATTGTGATTTAATACGTTCCATATTATTTCTTTTTTTTCTCTTTTCAATATTTTTACTTACCATAAAATCTTCATATGTTCCAAAAGTTTTTGCTGGCATTTTAAAAAATTCCGAATAAATGGGAAGAAATTCTTCGAATTTCATTGTTTTTTCACCCGATTTTTTTGTTTGACCTCGTTTTTCACACTCGGCTACTGTTGCATATAAGCCTAGTGACCTTAACATATCACCAATGTAAAAATTGTCCACTTTTCCTTCATATTTTTTATCAAACACTTCAAATACTTGTTTAGCTTCATCAACTTTGTCACTTGGTAAATCGGCCATTTTTTAATGAAATAACAACAATAGCAGTAGTAATAGTGTTATAAAAGGAAAAGATGCAGCAGGACACGCAAGTAGTGATAGTAGTAGAAGATGTTGATGTAGTAAGAGAGGCCGTGAAAATGGAACACAAACTATCGTCAATAATCGTATTCGAAGAGAACAAGAAAAAGAAAAAAAATTTGTTGTACAATAGAGAAATATCCGTCCTTTTTAATCAGACCGCGTTAAGATATATTTCCATAATTGTTTGTATTGGACGTATAAGGGGTTATTTTCAGAACAATATTTCATCTTCCATTTTCTTTTTTCTTTTGTACACAACTATACTGACATATTCTACACATAACATTTCTACATTAAGAAACTATAATCATATTTCGTTTCTTATGTACAGATTATCTGTCAATGATAATGATAACATGGACTTAGATATTGTGAAAATAATTCTCGAGCAAAAATAGAAAAACAAAATCGAAACAAAAAAAAAAAAAATGAATACCACACAGTTTATTTAAATTAATTAATTTTTCTATCTTATCATGTTCACGACAATTAGACGATGAGAGAAATGGAAAATAAAAACTCGAATTAGAAACTAGAACCAAATAAAAGAACTATTTTGAAATTGAATGAAGAATTTCATAATACTCTTAATATTCACGCATTCAGCATGCAAAATATCTTGTGCATAGCTAACAAGCTCCATCTTCAGAACCATAATTATCAGTATAAACGAACTCTCTCGTAGTTTCCAAAATTTACTGTTGCAAAATGGTATCCTTGGGATTCGTACTTTATGTGTGTGTGTATAGTATTATTGTCTATAACCTTGAAAAAAAAAGAAGAATAAACCACACACACACAGCAGATATTCATCTCGTAATAACAATATTATTAGTTATATTACGTATATGGAATGCTGTTGTACATAGAAGAGAAAAATAGAAAGCGACGAGAGAAGAAGATAATAAATCGGCAAAAACTTCTGACTAAAAAGTCCTTGTTTATGAAAAATGATACAACATGATTTCCATCATGCCATGATATATTTCAATGTACATAGACTAGCAAAAACAATTATATTTTCCAACGAAAAAACAATGGTAACGGGTGTTACCTAATTTTTATCTGAATACATCAATTTCTGTATGATTCCTCTTGATTTACAAAGATTTAAGTTAGATTGAGCTAGACACAAGCGATTATTGATGGATTTATCACGAGATCATCATCCGAAAGAAGTTAGATTGATCAAGATACTAAAGTTTGTTTCAAAATAGATGTAGTAGAGATTGCAGACGCCAATTTATTAGCAGATTGTCGTTTAATAGATGGTACAAAAATACTACTGATTTGTTATAGTAAAAAAGAATAATTAGCAGCACTTATTTTAATATTTTCATCAATAGTGAGAGTGCGGACAACAAAAATGTGACGAATTAAGTTTTCGATATTTTGCTCTTGACATCCTCACATAAAATAAAATTGCTGTTTTGTATAGAAAGCATTTTTATCGTAATTAGCGGGTTTTTATGGTATGGATACTGAATATAGAATTTAATTCTATGCGGTTTTTTTCGTAACCACTCATTACTCATTAAAAAACGCATTTCTGACAGTGATGCAACTGCTTACTGTTTTGCTCTTTTAAAGTTCGTTTAACTTTTAATCTTCCTGTTCTTTCAAGAAAGTTTCTAAAAAAAATAAATTCTTCTGTAGTTGCCAGCACTATTAATCAATTGATATATGTTAACCCTTGACAGCTATTTGGGGGTCCAGTTGGACCCACTGTGCAGGATTTTTTTTCTTACTCAGCAGTATTCATCTCTTTTGAGCTGCTCTCTTTCCTAATCGTTAATCTTCTATCCATGCACACTACCTATATCAAGCCTCTTGAATGAGTCTTACAGACAAAAAACTAGAGTGTGGGTACGCATGGACTCGATAACAACCATGGTGTTATATTTACGATTTCCAGCAGTGTTAGAGCCGCGCTCAGTCGTCGTTTTGGTAGAGCAAACATTTTTCTACAAAATGAGACGTTCCGCAGCTATGAGCGAATCTTGATTACCGATGTATAGAAATTTTCCCGGATGCTCCAACACCAGTTATAAACTGGTGCATGCCTAATTATAAAACCGTTCCCAAAAATGTCTTCTAAATAATATATGTTTACATACTCTGCATCAGTATCAACATATCCAGCTAGAAGGAGCATGATGTAGACCATTGATCCATGCATGAAAAGCTTCAATCAAATGGTAAAAAGCTTGAACTTCTCCCATACGTTCCCGTGGGGGTCCAACCGGACTCCTGACGAGGGAACATTCCCGATTGTCCAACCTTGATTTCTTTCAAACATACATCAATCGGTAGCCTATATCGAGATAGTAAAAAGCCTAAAAGGATTTATCCCTATGGCTCTTGAAGACCCGTTTTTCTAGAAAACCAGTTTTTCAGAAACCCTAAAAATTAACGAAAACTTTTTTGAATAAGGCATATTGTAGCCCGCACATTTTTGATTAAAGTAAGACGTCTCCCAGCTCTACACGACCTTTCTTTGCAAAGTTATAGAGTTTACAATAAAAGCCCTAAATGTTCATTGTCAGCTTAAAGCTACAGAAATAAGAAGGAAGAATTAATTTAGGGCTTTTCTTGTAAATTCTATAACTTTGCAAAGAAAGGTCGTGTAGAGCTGGGAGACGTCTCATTTTAATCAAAAATGTGCGAGTAACAATTACGCCTTATTCAAAAATGTTTTCGTTAATTTTTAGGGTTTCTGAAAAACTGGTTTTCCAGAAAAACGGGTCTTCAAGAGCCATAGGGATAAATCCTTTTAGGCTTTTTACTATCTCGATATAGGCTATCGATTGATGTGTGTTTGAAAGAAATCGAGGTTGGACAGCTGGGAATGTTCACTCGTGAGCAGCCATGAAGTCCAAAAATGAGAACAACTGTCAAGCGTTAATCAGACACATTAGTCATAGTCGATATTTCTTAAAAAACATTTTAGTGTTTTTTGGTCGCTATAAGTATATTACCATAGATCGAGTGTAAATAAGTGCTAAACATGATAGCTCACTGATTTAGAATATAGCGTACTAAGCATCATCTAAACATACACAAGTTCGAATCTGATTACAGTGGTTATTACTGTTTTTTTAAATGTAGATAAATCGATTGATTAATCGAACGCTCCATTGTTCTTTTAATAAGATTACATAATTACAGAAAATTACACTCATTCAACTGGAATTCATTTGACTGGAAATATGGTTTATGTTAAAACAAAGTTTCTAATCTTACAGAATTTCATTTCTGTTATTGACCGTATACATCAATTTTCCATTTTAATATACATCACAGCTATTAAAATTAAATTAAAGAGTATTTAATGTAGCATTTGTATTGGATTTGTCAACTGAAAGCGGACATGACAGATCTGATAATTATTCATAAAGGAAAAAATCTTTTATTTCGTGCTCTACACGTTTACATAGTGGAATGCTATGTCTGAATAATTATCTGTATCATTCGAAACATCGACAACAAAACTTAAAATAAGAACGCATTCTTTACTAATATTCATTTGACTCGCTCTAAAACATAAACCAAATGTATGAAGGTGTTTCGAAAACTATTACTATTGACCTTGCAAAAGTTTTAAACTTTTAGCTATTTTAGATTTTTCTTGTTGAACATTGTTCGCTAATTATCTCTATCGTATGTGGTGTAATTTTACAACATTTTAGTGGCAATAACATTTTAAGATTATAAATAGATTTAAAACCACAAGATGGCGATAGAGAAGGCTCCCATCTACTTATTACCTTGTAAACATCACCTATTGATACCTCTTATTGTTAGAAAATGGTAAAAGGTATGTTATTATATTTAAAATAAATCATACATACCTTGCCTATTTTTAATGATTTATTCTCTACGATATAGGTAAGTCAATTCATAATCAATCAAAAGTATATAGGCGAAGACTGCTCTCTACTCTGCGTTATCGCGTTTTTATCATCCGTTTTTTAACTAAACATATTACTCTTCTTTCAATCATAATTCCGAAGTTTTAGAAGCGCATAATTTTTGAACTTCTGTCACGGACTGTTAAGCTTTAATTTTTAGCAACTACTCATTCTCCATTTTTCGGACATTGCAAAAAAATGTTTCAACTCATTTTTTCCTTTCTTTTACGTGTGTGGTTGCGTATTCATACCATATAGATGAGTAAGTATTTACTATTATTGTATAAATAAGGCATGGGATAAAAATCGAATTCAACTAATATGCAATTTATTTATATTGTTTTCCAATGGTCTAATCACAATACAATAACTACAATATAATCAAAAACAGCAAACTAAAACGATTGTTGGAAAAAGAAGCAAAGAATTAAGCTTGAGAGGGAAATAGAACTAAAATGAATTCTGTTTCTGTACCCATCGCAATCTTGACAGATATTGAGCAAATGTATCAGTGATTTAATATA